CTGCAGACCGTCGGCACGATTTTTAAAGTCGACAATATCTCTGTCTTTGTCTTTCGGGCAAAGATAGTTCATGCGACTTTCGCCTTGCGATTCTCCTGACACACAGCAATTGCTACGAGTCCATTGCATGCCAAACTTCCGCATTTGGTTCGTGATAGTTTTCCGACGCGACCAGTGACTAACTATCACAGCCGAAATGGAAGATGATAGACATGCAATGCACTTGTAACCGTTTGCTTTGGTGGGAGAATCGCAGCGATAAATCACGAGTGCAGCAACTAACAGTGACTGAGAGTGTTTAAAGAGAAATAATTTGAGTTGGACTCTTTTTGGTTGAGCATACTCGTTCATTTACACAGGGGAAACTTGCTAGCGTTCGCTTTCTGCTCCATTCCCACGTATTGCGCTATTCCAATACTTTTATTCCATCGCATTGCTTCCGAAATGAGGCTGAAAAGCTCTCTATTTATATCATTCTCGTTGCTATGAACCTTGCGTAGAAATCGGTGAGTTTTCGCTAGTTTTTAAGCTACTTTATCTTCTATCTTTCAATGTCTTAAATCGTTTGCAGGATATAAGAGATGTTTCGTCGGTCTCTCGTCGGTCTCATCGTAATTTCCTTGCTGCTTGAGGTGCTGCCGGGTCAACACGTGAAACCCAAGGAGAAAAAGAAGGATCTTACCGATTACAGGTGAGTGCTTACTATCGAGATTTGATCCATTTCATCTTGTGTCTTCAACAAAAGCGCTACCGTTCGTAATTTTGTTGTACAGGCTGTCTCAAATTGTGAGTCAAGTCCTACAAATTCATTTTTTGTGGTCGCTTTGCTAGAGCCTTGTGCGGGAGCTTACCCTCTGGTACTTTGTCCACACTTCGGCAGCCTCCAGTCGCTGCGAGTCGTGGGAAAATCTCCAGAGTATGGGGTAGTGCGCGAACCGGGCGCGAGGCATGACTGAGGTGCTAGAGCTGCGACACTCAGATTGAGACAGCCTATAAGTGCCGCGGATTTTCAGAAGATTCTTCGTTACAAATGCTAAATTTAGTGAAGCAGACTTAGAACGACTATACCAGCAATGGGAGGAGAACGATGAGGACAAACTTGATGAAGATGAGTTACCGGAACACAAGCGACCACAAAAACAAATGGATCTGGACAGCATCAGAGCAAAAGTGGGAAATTTTTGTGATGAAAGCCATTATTATTTATTAGTTATTATAAAATTATTTCACTTCGCAATTTAGGCTAAGAATCCCGAAGATTTACTGAGCGCGACGAAGAAAGGTCAAACAGTGATGATGTTCGTCAATATTCGGGATCCCTCCAACCCTACAGTGAAGAGTCGACCTTACACTGAAAGAACGGCCGATGTCTTCAATTCGATGCTTCATAATAACCACATGGTTTCTCAGGTTTGTGAAAAAAAACCATCAATCCAGAAAAATTTCCTAGAAGTTTATTGAAGTCCCACAGCTTCTTTTGATTGTTACTAATTAATGCATTCTCTGCAATTTTTCACCTTACTGGTTTGAAGGCAGTGTCCAGGCAAAAGTCGATTCTGAGATTTTATGCTCACCCGGGCCTTTTCTCTCTATGTTGAATCCGAATATCCACACTGGAGAGCACGAAAA